TGAGAAACGTCTGAGCTAAACCGAGGAGCATGTTTATCCAGGACTGTAATCCATCCATTAGGGAAATAACTAAAGGCACTGTTGATATTTGCATAATGAGATGCCAGGCAAATATGTACAAAACAAGCCTCATGAAACTGCCTTATCACGTGTGACTGTGATTTGTGGTTTAGTAATTTTCCTTGTAGCAATCACACAATGTCCCTGTCGTCTGGATCATTTGCAAACACAGTCGTAGGATATTCTGAAGGAGATTTTCTTAGTATCAAGTGCTGTGTTATTGTTTGCTGTGAAGGAAAGCAAATACGGTAACGACAGCTGCAACTTGTCGGTGTTAAAGGTCATTCATCATGATTACGCTTCGAAATTCATTTGAAAATGTGTGTCTTCTGTGTGTCTTCATCGTGTCTGTTTTAGATCCTGTTTTGAAGAGAGCTGTGCACCTCATCTTAGGGAGTAACTGTCCTTGTGTAAGTTTTGGAGCATCACGACTCAACGAGTCTGACACAGGTTCAGACAGAGACAGAACTCTTGTTTTAACTTGTCCTGAAGAAGTGAGATTCCAGGCTGCAAACTGGGACTGGAAGGACCGCCTGCACCTGACTTATGCCGTCCCCTCTCAGTCCTCGAACTCAAGCCTGGCGAAGCAACAATAAACACAGAAACATCGAAAATAGAGGAATCTGGGTTCGAGTCCCTGGTTTTCCTTGATATTTACGGGTTAGAGTCCCGAGTTAAAGTTAGGTTCGAGTCTCACGTTTTCTTTGTTGTTTATGGGTTAGAGTCCCAAGTCAAAGTTGGGTTCGAGTTCCACTTTGAAATAAGTTTGGGTTAGAGTCCCACGTTTTCTTTGTTATGTACGGGTTAGAGTAGAGTGACCATATTTCCGTTTGTGAAAACCCGGACACCTTACGAGGGGTGAGGGGTGGCGCCTCGACACTGAGCTACTCTCACCTCGCAAATTGTGCACATGGCCTCCCACTTGTCCCGACCGGGACGGAAAACGGAGAATTTCTTCTACAGGTCATTGTTAAATGTGCATTTGTGCTTTGGCATGTTGCAGATTGACCAACTGTTTGTGAGCGTCTCTTGTAGCTCTCTGCACTCAGAATGAGTGAGCAGAGAGCTACAAGAGACGCTCAATTTAATGTCCCCAATGAAAGATCATGAAAACCCGGACATTTGCATCACTTAAAAAACAAAAAACAGACACCCAGGACAGGATGCAATAAAATGACATGTCCGAGGAAAAAATGGACGTTGGGTCACCGTATTTTAGAGTCCTGAGTTAAAGTTGGGTTTGAGTAACACTTTAAAATAAGTTTGGGTTATAGTCCCATGTGTAAATAAGTTTGAGTTGTGTACACCACGTGGAAAGATCGCGATTGGTTCATCCCAGAGTAAAATAGAGAAGGTCGACTGGACGTCTTCTATTATTACTTATATGAAGAATACGTACGGGGAAACCTCTGTTCAGTGTTTGGAGGAGTGGGTGCAAAAGTGTGGGTTTTCAAGTAAAGGTTCATTAAGTTTGACCCAATTAGGACAAGTCAGGAAACGGACTGATGAGGTTGAGGATGAGATGAGGAAGAAAAGATGATTAAAGTGCATGAATTGAAAAGGATAGAGAAACACAGAGTATGTTTGCAAATATGACTGAGAGAAGCAGAAGATAGAGACAGGAGGACCAGTAATGGGTGTGGCTATCCTCCAATTTTGTAAAGCATGGAGGCCCCCGGGGATGAACTTCGGAGGCTTCTTCTCCTCCATCTTGAACCAGAAGCATGTGCAAAACTTGCCCAGACAGTAGAGACCCAAGGATATAATTGGACTGAAAGCCCAGGCAACGGCATGGGACGATACTGGGCGATGGGGAATGTGGTTCACCAGAATAATAGCCAGAATCAATACCACCTTCCCCATAAAAATGGACATGGCCCGTCTCAAAGAATGCAATCAGGGCCCGTCTGAGTCAGTGACAGATTTCTGTTATTGTATCCAGGATGTATGTGCTGCCCATTCAGACTGTGAACGCTGTGACGCTGCAGGACACAGAGGAGAGACACTTTTGTCTTTTCCACAGGATCTGCTGACCCTCCTGACCTGTCCTCCTGTTTTTCTGCACTGAGACCTTTGACTCTCTCATGGAGATGCAGCCTTTGGTCAAGAATGTACGGGAGAGCAATCCAGCTCTCTTCTCTGAACCTGTTGTCCCTTTAAGGACAGGTGGTGATAGGGCGCCCTCTAGTGGGAGCATGCTATACTGTGTTTTGTTTAAGATGCAGTTTGTGTTAAAAAGTCCTGAGATATCTTCCTCAGTGTTTAAGGGAGCATAAGCCTGTACATTTTTATGTTATTACAAATGTGATTGCCATTTGATGCTATTCACAATATATATATGTATATATATATATATATATATATATATATATATATATATATATATATATATATATATATATATATATATATATATATATATAATATATATATATATATATATGTTAATGATAAACTAATCTGTATAAGACTGTGCATATTTCTCCAAGCATAAACTACTGAGTCAAGTCAACAGCTCCTTTTACCTTTAGTTTTGTAGAAATTGGCAATTCCAGGGCTGAAATTATCTAAATGATTCTACTGAAGATGTATGGAGTTTAAAAACACAGAGGCGCACTTCCTGTATTACCACATCACATCATAAGGTGGAGCAGAGTGTTTTCCATTTGAGAAAAGAACACAGCCTAAATATGCAGTTAAACATGTGTGAATGAAACAAAACACAACTCCAGGTACAGTATCACTGGGTTTCAGATGACACAGCATTCTACAGGCCAAAATTATTTAACACATGGGGGCAGCTTATTGTAACAGATTGGGTCTATTCTAAACGGACAAGCAACAAATAAACATTAACAATGTTTAGATTCCATCTGTTGGAAAAGAGTCAAAAAGGTGAGTGAAGCATGTATTTGTTTTGCAGCTGGATCTAGTCCAGGGGTGGGCAAACCTTTTGGCTCGGGGGCCACATAGGGTTCTAAAATTTGACTGAAGGGCTGGATGGGAGACAGGACATATGACGTGTTAAGAACCCGGCGCCATTGCACTCGTATTTACGCTCATGAAGGACGTATTCTGCACTATGCGCTTTTAGACGCCTATGTTTCTGATCAAATGAAAATTGATTGAGGTCTGCTTCTCTACGCACACTACAGACGATTGAGTAGCAGTTTCTCCAAAATCATTTTTTACTTTTACTTGAGTAGTTTCTTGCAACATCTACCCTGTGTTTCTACTGGAGTAAAATTATTTAAATGAGCTGTATGTGTCCTGAGCTCTTACTGTTTTAAAAAAGGAAATACAATCACAACTGGTTAAAGTTAAGATTCACTTTATTGTCCCTGTAATAAAATGTGTCCTCTGCATTTGACCCATCCTGCAGAACCTCTGGGCCAAATCTGCAGATCTTGAGCTGGTCTTGGTCAGGACGACCTCAGCTGGAGGAGTTTAACTATGGTGCATGTTTTGGGTTGATGGGGGAAGATCTGTGGAGAGGAGGACCCCTCCCACTGTAACAATTTATGTTAATAATGTTTTAAAGGTTTTATTGAGCAATATTAAACATCTGTAACTAAATAAATGCAAGATAGATAAGTTTAATACTGGACTGTGGAAAATAACAGGTAAAGAAATGACGTCTCCATGGTGACGGACTCTCCTCCTAAAAATGACACAGTTCTACTTTAATTTTGTGGCAGTCCAGACTTTATGCTCTCTGTGCTTTTGAAAACTTTTCTTTACATTTGACATTTGAGCCAACCTGATATTCTGTGTCTGAAGATGGAGAAACTGAACTAATAAATAAAGTCATTTTGTGACATGATAAGAATCCTGTATTACTTCTTAAAACCTGTAGGTGGTGCTGTTGCATTAACTTGAACAGGCTGCAGGTTTTATTGTGGTTTAGAAGAGGAGAGAAACTGTGTGCTCTTGTTTTGTAGTTTTTATTATAGATTTATCCATATAAAGCCATTTGTATCCACCCAACCACATAATCTATATTTTTCCTGAAAAACCTGTTGTATACAATTAAATACTTGTCTGCTGCCCCCTAGTGGACTTTCCATGTTTTTCAGTAAATAACAGGTTTCTCTGTTTTTGGAGGAACAACTTTGTCCATTTTGAAAAGGTTAGTGTAAGAGTTGCCTAAATATTGTTAGTGATTCTTCAATATGAACATTTGCTTTCTTAGATTAATCTGTGAAGTCTTCATATTTTTACATCCTTTTGTAGAAAAAATGTGTTAAAATTGTATCAAATTTGATACAGCAGGTCTTTGTGATTCTGTTCTTCATCCATCATATTACATTTTATGATGCAATCTTCATAATTCATGTAATTCAACGCAAATTTAACACCACACAATTTTTACTATTTCATAACAAAGTCACCTTAAAAATATAATTTAAATTGTTATTATTATTATTATTATTGCATAATGGTGGAATATTAATCTTTACATGACTTGTATATACATAAAAGGTGCAGTGGTTTATTTGGTGTAACTGTCCTGCCTCTTCAATTTTCACACACAAAATAACTAATAATCTATTTTACTGATTCAGAGGATATAGAGGATTCACTCATTTATTTTTTACATATATTTATAATAATTTCACACACGTGTACGGTGGGAAATGTAACGTGCATCTGAGCTTGACCAAGGACTCAAAACTGTTTTCTCTCCTCCCACATGGTAAAATAAAAATCATCCTGTTCAGACATTTAAAAAACATAAAAGGAAATGTTCAGAAAGGTTTTTCTGAGTTCTAACTGCATCAAAAAGAATTTTGTTTGGTCCTAAAATAAACATGGTTGGGTTCTATAAAATGGCCCAATGTATCAAATATGATACATTTTTTATTTCTAAAATGGTCAAAGTTATCATCATTATTATTATTTTTTACATTTTGTTCAAAGGTTCAACAAAGAGTGAAATATCAAAAGAATCTGTGTCAGGCTTTATTTATATTCTGATCACATTCTTAGTTCACAACAAGGATGAATAATATTAAGAATATTTGGTACATGGTCCTTTTATACATCGATGGATCGTCAGAACAATTAACCGGTTTCCTTGACCAATACTAACCGACATTAATGCATCTGTGGTTCACTACAGTTTCCTCTCAGTTAGTTTTGTCTGTTTTGATAAAAACATTTCCATCAGTGTCCTTAATCCAGCTGAGTTTGAGCAGTTTACTGGCTTCTGTTTTCTCCAGATATTTTTTTATCTAAAAAAAAAAAAAAAAAGACAAAAATTATGGTAGGGCTGCAAGATTTGTGGCAATCAAATCAAAATCTCAATTTGAATGGTTGTGTTCAACAAATCACAAAGATTGCATTAATTATGTATCCTGTTTTATAATGTCAACACTGTAGTTTAATCCTGCAAACGCTGTAGTTTAAAGTAAATTGGATAAAGCTGTTACATGCATTTGTGTACAGGGAATTTCTTCAGATTAGTGTTGTTATGATACTAAAATTTAAAACCAGATTTCAGTACTAAGAAATAGACTCGATACTCGTCCAGGTCGGTTCAATAATGGTCCAGTCTGTGCACTTAAACTTATTCTGATACAGCTCAAGAACATTTAAAATCTTTTCAGGAAAGTTTATATGAATGTGACATTTCAAGTTCTAGTTTTGATACTAGTTTTTGTACCATTTAGTATCTGATCTCCAGTACTTTTTACAACCCTACTCCAAACAAATTTACAGAACTTTTGAGAATCAAACCACAACACCTCAATCGTAGCTCTTGAGTTTACATGTATTTTGATAAATCAGTTTAAATTAGATTATGCCAGTCTATCAGTTTGCCTGTTGTACATGTAAACGTCCTGACTGTAGTTTATTGTACTGGAGTTTAGACTGGAGCTTAGATAATAACCAACTATCAGGCTTTGATTAGTGTAAGCACCATTTTATAAGGTTTACATATTTGCATAAATAATTAACAATAAGACAGGCTCATCAATCAGCTTTCTTTGTGAAGAGGTTAAATTAGGAATAAGGAGAAAACAAGTCAAAGATTAGACTCCACAATTAGACTCACCTGCTTCAGCACCTGTTCTGTCACCACAGGTTCATTTGGATTTGCAGAGGTTGTTTTCAGCTGTAGCTTTATTTTATATGTCTTAACTAAAACAAAACAGAAGAAATGTTTATTTTTACTGTAATGTTAAACTATCTACGTGGGTTAAGTTTTTGAGCTGAATTAAGAGTAACATATTTCTGTATTTCTGTAGTGCAGATACACACCAGCCGAGCCATAACAGATAAAAGGCTTCATCTTGTCACAGTTACAGTCGTCCCATGTTCCTCCATCCTCAAAGTTTGCCGTCACACAGCGCTCATGCAATTCTTCATTGTCGGGCTGCCATGGGACTTCAGTTCTCCAGTAGGAGAAAGTGGAGTTGTTTCCGTCCAGCCACTTCCAGGACGACCTCCTGAGGCCAATCCAGGCATGGTTGATGAGCAGGGCTGTGATTTGGCTGTTCTGGGTTGCGTCTCTCACACTGGCCAGGTCTGTGTGGTGCAGCCTGCAGTACTGCTGAGCCTCCTCCCAGGTGAAGGAGTCAGTAGTGAGCACAAAGGTCTCTGAGGATCCTGGGACGTAACAGAAACAGTCTGTCAGAGTTTCAAACAAATGAATAAGATAAAGCCTGTATGCATTTACTCCAGAGACTGTATAAAGAAGTGGACTAAGTGAGTGTGTGTTAGAGCCCTGCACTAACGCACACTCAAAGCTGGAAAGAGAACAACATCCTGATTTACAAAGTAGAGCCCTGCACCCCTGTGGGACCCAACGCAAAACAGTGTGGCGTAGGACACATTTTGAAAACTGGGCAGGAGCGAGACCACTGTACACACTGCGGGAGCAAGTGGGTGGGATAAGCTTTCAAAATGTGTCCCGCGCTGCGCTGTTTTGCGTCGGGTCCCACAGGAGTGCAGGGCTTTACTTTGTAAATCCGGATGTTGTTCTCTTTCCTGTTTGGTTCTTTCTGAACTGTAGAGGCTGATCCGGCCGAACACCGACCCAGAACAAAATAGAGTTGGTCTGTAATTCTGTGTGAGCACGGTGGAGTGGACGAACACCAGCGCTGCACATACACGGGATGTGGAACGACTCTCATGCTACGTTTACACTGAAACGAATCACCGTATCACCGTATTGGAAACGATCTGAGTCCAGACATGTTATTTCTGTGTCCACAAGTCTTCCCTATCCTCACAGCTTTGAGCATATTTGTTTACCTTTTACAGAATGAAACTTAAAACCACATGGATAATTTGCATAAACTGAGAGCTCAAAAAAACAGCTCGCTCCTTGTGCACTGATGTGGTTCAGTTTCTGTCGGACTAAAGGACACGACTCAGTGGAATATGAGTGTTGTTTCTGTGACAGAGGGGTGTTCTGCTGATGGTGAGTCTGTTCTGTGTTTCTGTCGTGTTGGAGATGGTTCATGTTAAACTTTTCAGAGATTATACGTCTGCAGGTCGTACACACAGACACACGTTTATATGAATGGACAGATATTCTAGCCTCTTAGCGTTTTGGCGATGAATTACTTCGCGGTGCACAGAACTACATCAGCGTTTTCAGGTGTCCATACAGTGCCAGATCAGATCCCTACTCACATAAATTTGTGGGAGCTGAAGGCACCAGATCATTCCATCTCTGAAGCCGTTTTCAATCAAATTAGTGTGGACGAACACTGCATCCACAACGAAAATGACTCGAATACGTACAAGTGTCGACGGAGTCTCACTCACTACAACGGCTGTGTCAGTTCTGCGGCGTCAAGGTGAAGTGGAGCTGCATGATGTGGAACCAGCCCAGAGTCTCACCTGTCAGATCCACACACATGGCCGGAAATACGTTGCTACAATGGGAGTCCCACCACATTTCATCCGATGACATCCCGACACAGCACTCGTTTCCTCCGTTGTTATTTGGTTCCCCAGGATACCAGTTTGTGTAGCTCTCGCTGTTGTAGGGCGGGTCTGACAGGGACCAGCTCCAAGCGGTGAAGTCATCGTACAGGCCGATCCAGACCGACTGTCAACATGTACCACACGACATCATGTCAAATCAACTTCACTTCGCTTTCTACCATGTTAAAACGTGTTTCAGTTATTAAAAAAAACAAAAACATGACTGAAGAGGATTTAGATGTCATCCAAACAAAGGAATAACTTTCCAAACAAAGGAATAACATCTCCATGGGGAAAAGCTTTTCACGAAAATTGCAATTTGTGTTTTTTTTAAATCATATTGTACATTTAGAAAGTTTTTTTGAGGATAATCCTACTAACTGTCACTGATATAGTCTTAAGTGTTCTCACATTGTAGAATCCGTCTGGTGTCAGCAGTCTGCTCAGATTGACCGTGTTTCTTAGGGTGAGTACGTCCTCCATGTTCTCCACAGTGGCCAGGTCGGTGTAGTGCTGTCTGCAGTAGCTCCGCGCCTCCTCCTGGGTCTTCAGCTCATAGACAAAGTGGAACTGTCGAGAGGAAACTGGAGCCAGGGCTGAGAGAGGAGCAGGGACCACTGTTAGACTAGTCATGTGTCTTTGTTAGTGTCAATAAAACTGTGTAGCAGTGTGCACTTGCTGTTTTCTACCGCCTGGGGCATTTTCCATGAAGCGAGTTAAAGTGAAAGCCTGGTTTATTTGGTTAATCCAGGTCAAAGGTCAAGTCAAAGCCTCAATTCTGTTCGAGCAAAGTGACTGACCAGAGGTGGCGCTGAGTTGCTGGAGTCAAAAGCACTCGGAAACAAACCTGGCTGGGACCAGACGAACTGTCAAGATTATTTTAGCTCTGTCTCCTAGAACGTCTAAAGCACAGGTGTCAAACATAAGGCCCGGGGGCCAGATCCGGCCCTCCAAGACCTTTAATCTGGCCCTCGGCTGATTTTCTACTAAAATATTTTAATTCAATTTTCTATTAAAATCTTGTTAATTTTCTGTGGTGTTTATCACAGCAGCGTCTCCAGCGTCTCTGTACGTGGCCCCTCCCACAAGACTTGTCTCTTTCCAAACGCTCTTAAAGGACGATCGTTTTGACTGTTGACCGTGACACCCTCATCAGAAAAATGTCCAACATGAGAAAAGTGGAGCCGAGTGCAGGATTTTACAAGAAAAATTGACTTATTCCTAATTGCATACAAGTTCATGTTAAAACATTGTGTTGAAATTGAATTTTTCTTAAAGTTTCAGGTTGTTCATAATATTATAATATTATAAGAGTTCATCAATTAAAAAAGATTTGTGTAATAGATTTGTGTTTCTCCGCACAAATATTTAAATATTTGAACTTATTTTTGGGGTTTATATGCCATGAGTTTTCTGATCCGGCCCCTTTGGGATCAAAGTAGGTTGGATACGGCCCCCGGACCAAAATGAGTTTGACACCCCTGGTCTAAAGAAACATTTTTGTCAAAACCTTTGAGCACGTTCATCACACACCTGTGTCAGAACACTCACTGTCTAATACAGTTTAAAAAATGACTTTTATAGTCATGTGTCGCTGGGGGCTGCATCCATCAAAAAGACTAACTGTATAAAAGTCTGTGGTCATTATTCCATTAAAATCCTGTTACACATGTGTGTGTTGTGAGGAGCAGAGCAGTTTTTCACACAGACAGACTCTGGTTTGGACTCTGAGGATGACTGTGGTTCTGTCTGTTTGCTCCTTCATCACGTCTGTGTCTCTTTTTTTACACATTTGAATCTTCAAAGTTTGTATTTAACTCTGCAACCAATAATTTACTTCAGTAAATATATATTCTCAGCCATTTGACAGATATTAAACCATTATTTTCTTGTTAAAATAGTTTTATTTGAATAAATAACTACCCTAGTCTTTAAAAGCTGGAAACATAAACACTGCTGCAGAAAAGTTACACTGTGCGCCTGAATTCATAAATGTAAGAAACAATGAAATACACATGTGTTATTGTCTTTTCATTGGTTCATGTTTTCATATAAAAATAAATCATTTTATTTGTAAAATAGTCAACACTGATGCAGGACATATAGATCTGAACAATGGGTAGCACCAAATTAAAATTTCTTGCTGATTGTTGTTGATACAAACAAATGTACGGAGAGCATTTAGCATTCTTATTTAGTATTTGAGTAAGTTTTTCTTATGTACAAAACTGTAAAGTTTGGTGTGTGTAGGTGCTACATTAAGAGGTGATCTTTATGTCCCTGTGGGAGTGAAATGCATTTTGAGAAGTCACATATAAATCTATGGATGCAATTCCATCAGAGACAGAGACAAATAAAGACTTAAAGATCATCTATTTAAACTAAGTTACATATATGACCCACTAGTTTTATTTATTTGAAATATTTCCGATGCAGTACTTACCTAATGATCCCACTGTGAGCAGCAGTAGTGCCTCCATGATCGACTCTTAATCACCCCTATAATCCAAACCTCTTTATATGATGTGAGACTCGAATCTGTTTTGTCTTTATGTAAAACAGGAATGTGCGAGGAGGGTTAAGTGTCTTACCCAAGGACACAACAGTGTTCAGTGTGAGAGCTAGAATTACAGCGCCAACCTGTGTGTCAGTGCGTCTGACTGCTCGGCCAGTGATGTTTTGTCATTCTGGTGTAAATCCTCAAAGTTCAGATGTTCTGGGGGAGACTTGTTGGGACTCCATGTCTGTTCTAACAAAGAATAAACCTTTTTGTATTTCATAACTCATCAAGGCTTCACAAATGGATTATTAGGGCCTGTTTACACGACAACGCTTGCGGGTAAAAACTACAACATATGTTATTGGAAATGTATTTCGTTTAGGCGGTGATGGCGTTTTTGAGGCTTAAAAACACAAAAATCTGAAACCACCCTCCAAAGTGGAAAAGTTGCTCCATCGTAGCATTTCTACACTGCCCAAGACACAAAACTCTGGTCAGATCTGCTCGGGTCGCTTACAAGTTTACATCACATACCACCTAGAATCATTACTGAGCCGCCTGGCATGTATGCCTTATCGACTTCCACACACTTTTGCATCACCGTATGCACGCAGATTTTCTCCCAAAAACGCTCGTCTAAACGCGGAAACAAAATGTGAAGATGCGACGTCACATTTGTGTCTTCTGTTCAGACGTAATCATATAAACGTAGCCTTATTCATCAATATTTTCCCACCACAAGTGTCTGATGAAGAATGTTCATTCAGGACTGTAGTTAATCCATTATGGAAATAACTCCAGGCGTTTGAATATAACACATTTGCATCATGATATGGCAGTCAAATTCACGTAAAAAACAAAGGTTGGTTCAAGAAACTGCCTTCTCTTGTGTGACAATGAACTGTGATCTGGTTATTTTCCTTGTAGCAATGACACAATGGTCCTGTAGACCACATCATCTGCAAACACACGAGTAGGATATTTTGAGAGAGATTTTGTTAGAATCAAGTCCATTTCAACCAATTCCAATTCAGATCCCCAAGTTCAAAGAGTCTTTTTCAGGGCAAATAGAGCACAGGTGAACAGGCAGTTCTTTAAATGGGCAGTAAGTCATGTGATTTAGGTCACATGACCCATTACTGTACATGCAATGACCAAACCTTTGCAGAGGTGTGAGCGAGAGGTCAAAGTGTCTTCACCACATCACATAGTCTACATAAGCGCACAACTCGTTAATTATGCATGAAAATGCGAGCACATTTGCAGCTCATTGACGGGTCATTCGCTCAAAGCTTCTCTTATTAACCACAGTGAGTGACCTGCTGTTAGCCAGGCTGGCGCCACCTAGTGCCTCCGCTCAGATTCATTTCTCTTCAGCGACTAGGTCAGGAATCAGAATACACTAGATGGTTTCCAAGAACCCTGGCCAATCAGTGAAGAGCTTGTGAAGCCATGACATGAAACTCGTCGTGTCTGTCAGGGTCCTTTTGTGGAACAGCACAACAGTAAACAAAGCCTCGAGATTGATGTAGACGATACAAACTTCGCATTTTTTATAGCACCTTTAATTCACAAGTTCATCTCACAGAAACGTCCCTCTGCCTCCACCACCTCAACTGGCCCCATGAGGCAATCCTCAAAAGTGTCATGTCCTATTTTTTTTTTATTACTTTTTGGCAAATAATAACACGCCTGCATCTTGTATTTTGTTGATTTCTTTCATTTTCGGTTATTGTAGTTAGGACCGTGCAGTTTGTCTGATATGTAAAGAAAGTGTAGCAGTTTTCAAAGAATATAATCTGCGTCGTCAGGGTCAAACTACTCTGTTATACGACCGACTCAACCCCGGCCCCCAGCACAGGCAGGAGCCATAATGTGGCCCCCAGAGAAAAAAGTTTGGTGAATCCCAGTATAAAGGCTCAGGAAACCTTTGCAGATGTTCTGAGCTTATTAGCCGACTTCCCAATATTGTCACAATTTTCAAATTTTCTGAGACTCGTGTCATGAGTCTATATAATATATGGGTTTGACTTTTTGAAATGAGTGACAAAAATATAGAGTTTTTTCATGATATTTTAATCATTTGCAGTGGATAGATACAGATGGATGGACATGTGGTCATATGATTTACTCGCCTGCCTGATGTTGTCAGAGTCCCCTAAATGTTTTACATGTTTTACATTCTATTGTCATTATTCCCCCTTCATCCAAATCAGTGTGTGTGGATCTTTTACATGCTTCTATCAAGGATTTAAATCATTTGAATAGACGAGAAAAGAGTTTACATGTAGTATTTCCCAGGTAGGTATCTGAGCTAGATATATGATAGGTTAGAATTGTAGTATATGCTCCTAATGCTATGCTCTGTGCCTATATGCAGTGATACAGTTCATATGAGATTTCAGATTTCATGTTAATAATAATAATAATAATAATACATTTTATTTATATTGCACTTTACATAAAATAATCTCAAAGTGCTACAGGTAAAAACAATGAGTAAAAAAGTGCATCAGCAAACAGTGGATCAAGCTAAAACCATTGCAGGAATTAATAAGATAAAACAAGAATAAAATACAATTAACAAAAGGCTTTAGTAAAAAGGTACGTTTTAAGATTTTGTTTAAAAACAGAAATAGACTGTGGGGCTCTCAAGTGGTCGGGGAGAGGATTCCAAAGCCTTGGAGCAGCAGAGGAGAAGGTCCGATCACCCATGGTGCAAAGTTTGGTTCTGGGGGGTTGGAGAGTGTTGGTGGCTGCAGAGCGGAGGGAGCATGAGGGGGTCTGGGGAGTGAGGAGCTCCTTCAGGTACTGGGGGGAGTGACCGTGGATGCACTGGTGAGTGAGGAGGGAGACCTTTTACTCAATCCTGAGTGTGATCGGAGCCAGTGAAGGGATTTCAGGATGGGGGTGATGTGGTCAAATTTTCGCACTTTCATCAGGATCCTGGCAGCGCAGTTCTGGATGTATTGCAGTTGTTGTTGTTAATAAGTTAAAAACAGTAAAAAGGTTTGTAATAAATATTAATTTAAATAAGCCTTAAAAGCAGTTTAAAAAGAGTTAAAAGTTTATTAAAATGTTTCTTTTAGTTTATTTTTCAGTAACACTCATCATATCTGTGATCGACTGCTTAGCCTGGGATTCGCTGATTTGGTGATTGGTAATGCCTTCGCGCAGCACTTGGGGGAGTTCGTGCTCCTTCTGTTCATTGTATTAAACTTGTGCATGAAGGAAGCAGTGAGAAATCACTCAAGTGGTTCTTCTGTTTTCAGGTGGGATTTGCCAAATGTTTTGTGTTTACTGTATGTACATTGTTAAAGCGATTGTTGAAATAGGAGAATGTTTTATTGCTAGTAAAAAGTTTGATTGCTTTGGTTTTTTTTTTATATAAATAAGACCAGCCATTTTACATTGTTAGGGTGACCATATTTCCATTTGTGAAAACCCAGACACGTTACCAGGGGTGGGAGGTGGGGCCTCGACATTGAGCTACAGTCGTCCCTCGTTATATTGCGGTTCACCTTTTACGGTTTCGCAGATTTTAAATTTTTTTTTTTTTTTTTTGTGTACTTTTTTTTTTTTTTTTTTTTTTTTTACAGCGTATGAACATGTATTGCATATTACGGACGGGCAGTAATTACACACGGGTGGGTCAGGACTAACCCAGGTCTAAAACAGGACTAATCTTGGATTTAAGAGAGAGAACGCCGAGCAGTTTGTCCACAAACTGCGATCGGGCGATGGCCGCGATTACCTTCATGAGGCGCGGAGCTGAGCCGGTCCTTTCTCCTGTGGTCACCCTCGAGCCCGTCCCGACAGTAAGTCCTGTTTCAGTTCTGGTTTAGTCCTGGTTTACTCCTGTTTTAGTCCTAGTTTAGCCCTGGATTAGTACCTCTTCAGTCCTGGAACCAGTCCTGGGTTAGTCCTGGTTTAGTCTTGGTTCAGTCTGTGGTGTAGGCAGTGCAAAAGTTTGATATAATCTTGGGTTAATGGGTGGGTGCAGTCCTGTACTGCGGGTCTCCAAAAATGGACCTGCGCTGTAGGGCACCATTACGGACCGGGACGGAAAACAGAGATTTTCTTGTACAAGTCATTGTTAAATGTGCATTTGTGCTTCGGCGTGTTGCAGACTGAACGGCTGTTTGTGTCTCGCTCCTTCTGAGTCACAGATGCTACGAGAGATGCTCAATTTAATGTCCCCAGTGAATGGAAATGAAAACCCGGACATTTCCATCACTTAAAAAAAAAACCCAAAACAGACACCCAGGACAGGATGCAAAAAACGGACATGTCCGGGGAAAAACGGACGTTTGGTCACCTTAACATTGTGAACTCGTGCCCGCCATCTTGTGTCCACACAGGTTCACAAGCCACATGTAAAATACTGTTGATAATGGTTATATTTCTTTTGGCGACTTTTGGCATTTGTTTCATTTTTGATGGCATCTACAAGTGGAAAAAAGCGATCCATGGTTTGGGATCACTTTGATCTAATTCCACCTAACAAGTTCACCTATTTTCTTATTTACAGCATGCATATATAAATTGTTGTATTTTTGTTTAATGTTCAAAATAGAATATATACTATTTATGAGTTCTACTAAAATAGAAAATAGAGTTTTGCGTTCCCAAATCATGGGGTTGTGTGCTGGTTTGCAATGGTTAAATTTATCCACTAGAGGTCAGTGTTTCTCCGAGGCCTCAGACACGTCGAACCATTTGAGACAATATTGTGACTGAGGTGTCAATGCTTCACGAGGCTCCATTCGCCCACCACTAGTTAAAACCTGCTTTTCCTGCGTTTCAGCAACTGTTTACCTGTACCCGACCCTGTGCAGGACTCTGGTCTGAGCAGCAGCGGCGAGTTGTTCTCAGTGATAGAAAGCTCGGCAGCGGCGGACTGATATATGAGAAAATAGTCCCACATGGACAGTCTGGTGTAATAATAGATTTGTTTCGGGTGTTTTGTGGAGTGGGTAAGACT